CCTTACGGTACATACAACATGTCCACTCCGAACAGCGGTACGACGTATGAAATTATATATCGTCTCAACGAGTGAGACCCCAGACCAAACAGAATGTCTGTTACGTATACAAACACACACTACTATTGCAGTGATTGGTGGTACGTGTTGTGGAAAAACCTACCTCACTGTAAAAATATTGCAAAAATACGTATGTGATGTTTTCAAGCGACCTAATCTGATGGTGCATTGTTATACAATATGGCAAAACATGTATACAGACATGGAAGTGGTTCTGCCTCATATTCATGTTGGCCTAAAGGCGAATGTAACATAAGTGAGTCAGTATAGTTTTACACCGCCTTTAGCAACATTCCAGCAATATTACGGCGGGGGACACCAGAAATGTGCTTCACACATAGACTCAATATGGCGAGACGAGCGAAGGCTTTAACCAATAGGCTACCCCACCGCCCCTGTAACAGAATTGTATCTCTGAACACCCATCTGTAAATCTCATTGTCGAAACCTCGTCCAGTGCACGAATATAAAATTCTGGCTTCTCAAATGTTCCCCGGATAAGCTAAATACTTCTCAGAGTCCTTACGAGGTGCAATCGAAAGTAGACGGTACTGTCCTATGATCATAGACGCCAGTCTCCACGGGCGACTACCAACGGGTATGGTGGCCGAGAGGGGACATCGCTTTCTCGCTTTATCGCTTTCTCGCTCTATCGCTTTCTCGCTTTATCGCTCTATCGCTTTCTCGCTTTCTCGCTTTATCGCTCTATCGCTTTCTCGCTTTATCGCTCTATCGCTTTCTCGCTCTATCGCTTTCTCGCTTTATCGCTCTATCGCTTTCTCGCCCTATTGCTTCTTCTAATGACTAACCATAGTCATATGAAGGAATCGGGTGTTCTTTAACTTCTTTTGAATAGTATGTGCTGTAAATCTTGAAATTAACGTTAATTATAAATGCAAAAAAATTAGCGTAGACATAATTACCGTATTCGATGTAATAAGTGCCCAGGGCGCTCTCAAGAATAATATTTTGGCGGGGAAAAAAAGTTGAGTTGAAAGATAAATTTCGTGGTTTATGCTGACAGCCTGAAATGTTTATGTACGACAGATATATTTTTCCCGAATTTAATTGCGCATAATTAAATGTGCATATAACGCACGAGTGCGTATTATACGCGAATAAATAAGTCTGGTGTACATTAATCAATCGCAAGGGGTGCTAATTGGGATTGTTCACTAGCCAATATTTTAGCAAATATCGCCGTGGGCGTTGATTAGAGCGGGGCGCTTATTACTTTCGAATAAGGTAATTATACTTTGCATTTATGTCTCAGAAATGACTGTTGATAAGACGGCCTCACTGAAAACTTTGAATAGCGGAAATACCAACTTGAATATAAAACCAATCAACTATCAATTTCCACATTACGGTTACTGAGAACAATATGTCATCCAAAAACTAGAAATTACATAAAGGACATCCGGTAGTATTAACCATTGCTTGGGTGAGGACTTCCACTTTGATGACATCTACTCCGCAAACAGAATAAACGTTGATATAAGCGTTGTTTTTAGGAAAACACTATTGCTTTTTAGGAAGTACGTACTACTCAGCGCTATTGAGCGGTGTTATTTGCTATTTGTTTTGATAACTTGGCCTGGGGGCGGGGGATCAAATAGCTAAATAGGGTCATAAATCAATCAAATTCTTTTTTACGCAGAAATACGTGGATTGTTATAAAAGCACATATGTCTGTACTGTTAAATTATATTTCAGTAGATAGTGAGAAAATTTCAATATTCCGTCCATATGTATAATTTGAAATGCGACTAGAAAAATTTCAGCTCTCTTTTATGTTTAAAACCCAAAGAGGGAATATTGCTATACCGCGAGAAAGCGATAGAGCGAGAAAGCGAGATAGCGAGAAAGCGATAGAGCGAGAAAGCGAGAAAGCGATAGAGCGAGAAAGCGATAAAGCGATAGAGCGATAAAGCGATAGAGCGAGAAAGCGATAAAGCGAGAAAGCGATAGAGCGAGAAAGCGAGAAAGCGATAGAGCGAGAAAGCGATAGAGCGAGAAAGCGATAGAGCGATAAAGCGAGAAAGCGAGAAAGCGATAGAGCGAGAAAGCGATATTTCCCATAATGCCGTACATTAAAACGGTTTTTGCTGATATTTAGTGATCCTGTAATTCTCACCGCTATTTTGCCTCTTATGATTAGATTTTTTAAACATCTTGTAGTAGATAAATATGTTACAAAATACACACGTAATTTTTTCTCGTTTAGCTTGCATATTTTCTTGTAGTGTAATAAATAAGCAAGATTCAAAGAATACAGATAGTCACTGTTTTCATTTTTCATTTTGTTCATAGTATCCCCCCCCCCCCCCCCCCCCCGATAGATATCCAATTATAGTATAGGCTCAGGCAGGAATATACATATTCATGTAGCAATTCTCTATCAATTTAAACTGTATGGTTAACAATTGTGCGTTCTGATATGAGTTATGTTGTTATCTACTACCTTTTTACACAGACAATGAGTCGGACACACACACACACACACACACACACACACACACACACACACACACACACACACACACACACACACACACACACACACACACACATACATACATACATAATTTTGACAAAACTATACTTAAGATATACATAACATATCACAATGATAGCTGATTTAATATATGTTAAATATATGATAATCATAGTAATGCATTTCATATTGTTATCAACCTTAACTATGTGGCCATACTACTTATGTCTCTCCATATGTGTAGTTTACACAAGTACACATATCAACTGTGGTAACGCCACAGCGATGGGGGCAGTGGGATAGCCTAGTGGTTACAGCGTTCGATCGTCAAGCCGAAGACCCAGTTCGATTCCCTACATGGGTACAATGTGTGAAGCCCATTTCTCGTGTTACCCGTGATATAACTGGATTATTGTTAAAAGCGACGTGAAACCATTCTCACTCACTCACAGCGGTGTTTATCAAATTACTATATGCAAGTACATATATTTGTAGATTTGCACAAGACAAGAAACACAATTCAAGTTAAACATACATCAAATGTCAAAAAGAACATTTACGGACAACCTTATGACACACTGTAAATCATATACTGCCGAAAACAAGTTATAGAACACCCACAATTATAAGATTGTATTTTTGCAAAACAATCAGCCATGACTAATTAACCATAGTCTTCTTAACTTCTTTTGAACAGTATATATTTAGATTTTAACCTGATGTATTTAGAGCGTATTGCCATGATCTGCCACGCGCTTTCGGCGAGATGGTCACATACAACTGAATAGGGCCATAAATAAATCAATTACATTTTACGCAAAAATCGGTGGATTGTTTTAAAATCACCTACGTCTGTACAGTTAAAATATGTTTTAAGTAAATAGTGAGAAAAGTTCAACATTACCTCCCAATTGCAGCAGATATCACATGCGGCCCCTGTAGTGGTCAAGAGGGGATACTGCTTAACCGCGAGAAAGCGATAAAGCGATAGAGCGATAAAGCGATAGAGCGATAAAGCGATAAAGCGATAGAGCGAGAAAGCGATAGAGCGAGAAAGCGATGTCCCCTCTCGGCCACCATAAACGGGCGACTACCAACGGGCGACTGCCAACCGGAACATTTCCAGGCGACATATGTAGTGTATATTTACCAAAAGTGTGAGAGCAGTACAAATAAGCCCCTGTCCACATTGATCTGGTATCCCTTTGTTCACGACTGCGAGGTGAATAAAGTCTATTCCTCATTCAATCCCAATCCGAGGTGAGTTCTACCCATCTGAACAACTAGCAGCAAAACTTTACATACACAACACTAATATCTTCGTTTTAAGGCGTTTAACATTGAAACTAGTATTTTTATCATCGCTTAGACTGAAAGTTGAAAGTGCGTGCGCTAGTCCGGGCTACTAACGTGGTGAGGTGAAATGGGGTAAGCGTCGCGTCACTCCTGACACCTACACGATCCACGGCTTAGTCCAACTGAGTTTAACAGAATAAAACTTCAAACACGTCAAAAGTTGAAACGTATGTATTTAATACCATACAACGGTCCACCTTTAGAATTCACAAAATTATCGTAGGGCTAAGACAACTCACATACTTTAACTTAGACTAACGACTGTCGTTGCGCTACAATACGATCGCCTTGTGGAACGGGCCTCGCACCTCAAAGTTTACAATAACGTCACAATACCCAATGACGTAATTTGTGGAATTTTGTTGCAAGATCCATCGGCGAAACAATGCCATGTGGCGTCAGTCAGCCTAGCAACAAGATTGCTGGGGTCATCGAGTGTGCATAGCCTCCTCTCAGTGATCTATCAACTCCACACGCAATGTCGTTGAATAAGCCAAGGGATGTTGAGAGCTTTCAATATTTGTTCGTGAAACGTGTTCCGAGAGTACATAAGCACGCGTTTTGGTATTACACAGTGTGTAATACAGCTGTATGTTTATTAAACAGGTGATCTCTTCACGGGCAAGTAACAAACCAGTATTGTTAATAACGGGTGGGTAATATGATATGATAATATATACCAATGACATCATCCATCGTTCATGACGTCACACGCTTTTATATGACGTCGTTCAAACAATATTGACTGAACTGATGGGAAACAAACATTTTTCCACACCTAATTAAATGCTGAGGCTCGCTCGGCGGACGGGGCTTAAAAGCAATAATTCACTCATACAGATAATTGGCTTAAATGTAGTTGTTTTTTTCTAAAGGTGTTTATATAATTTTATTAAACGAGCGACGAGTGATGATATTGCGTAAAATCTTAAAGAATGTATCATATTTATAATTATCCAGTGAAACGCACAAGTAATCAAAGGGAAGTAATGCTGAATTCCCACCAAGCTCCTCACAGCGATAGCCCGTTCGCGGAGCTCTCTATACTACCGAGAGTGTAACGAAGGTGTCACGCGCTGGGAAGGAGCTTGAAATCCCACCCATCAAGGGAGACAATCAGCTACTACTGTTTGTAAACACTAGGTCGACATATGATATTGGGCTGGAGAAAAACTGACCTTGATGTCTCAGATAAAACGAGACGCTGAGGAAACATTGGCACAGATAATGTCCAGTTAAATCTTAGCGTGACACTTATCAACGTTTGCACACGAGGCAGCTTTAGTGAAATATAGGTCATCACTCGTTCACGTCGTGTCGTACTCACATCTTACTACCTGTTTCAATTCTGCCAGTTCCAAGCGTATTCGTTCAACCATCTCTACACCCGTCAGTTACTGAAGTGGACACCATGACAGACGTGAATCTTACCGCTATATTGTACAAGAAAGACGACATGAGGCTTGTGGGTATTGAATTGTATTTGTTATGTATAGACCATACAGACCAAGGACATCTATATAAATCTCTTATAATATGTCTTATCAGCCACTTTTGTCATATAACTGGCTATATAGGCATAGAAGAATGCATACATATCTCGAAGTCGTTCAGTGATCAATAGCATATGTCCTACTTTGGTTGTCATATTTTTTATGCATGGATGTCCAGTCAAATTCGATGGACAATTTATATGTGCCTTTTGGAGATTGGGTAGATTTAACCCCACTAAATTTAACATTTGAAACCACACGCTGAGCGTTCGGTTCCAAATTCAATTTAGCATGGTTAAATCTAGCGGTAACCTTGCTCTACATTTAAAACACAGTATGTTTATCTTCTAGCTGTGTGATGAAATGATATTAATGTGAAGTGCATTTGAACATTTTCATTTGGATTGGTATTTTCATTTTGTTTTATCATGCTTTCATATCATTTAAAAAAATATCATAGCCATAATTATTACAGTGACTGACAAATACATGTTCAACCGTTAGTATTATTTTTATGAAATTATTAGCTGACATGAAGCATGACATTGAAGGACAAATCAAGCTTGAGTGACCTAGGGCAGGATGTTAACAAGGGACTAGTCTCTGATATTTCCTGGGACAGCCACTTTGAGTCCATGTGCTCCAACAGCTCATACTAGCAACTATGCACGGGATCAGCTGGGCCCACTTACACAAAGCAATCTTAGCTCTAAGATTACTGTAACTCCCATACTGTAACATAGGCTTGCGATAGTCTTAGCAATAACATTGCTTTGTGAAAGTGGGCCCAGCTGATCCCGTGCATAGTTGCTAGAATGAGCTGTTGGAGCACATGGACTCAAAGTGGCTGTCCCAGGAAATATCAGAGACTAACGTAAGAATGTGGTTCATGCTATCAACCACTGGTTTACATGTGCTAAACGTGATTTATGTAAAGGCTGTTGTGATATAACTGAAATATTTCAGATTGTGTCATTAAACAACATCACTCATCCTGGGGTGAAAACTGTACAAAAAAGTTTATGATACGCTGTATGAGTATAAATGAAATAATTTATTGTTCTGTTACAGGAGGACCTACCAGTCCCAGAGCCCAAACAAGGAGGTATTAGAACTTTCTGCTATTTTACAAATATTTCATCATCTTGAGAACTGAGTAAACAAATGATCTAATTGTCATTTCTCATGCACACAATTATCCCCCATTTATGAAGCCAGAGACCCGTGAAGATCCGGGGTAGAATAGGTCTTCAGCACCCCATGCTTTCCGTAAAAGGCAACTATGCTTGTCGTAAAAGGCGACTAACGGGATCGGGTGGTCAGGCTCGCTGACTTGGTTGATGCATGTCATCGATCCCAATTGCGTGGATCGATGCTCATGATACTAATCACTGGTCTGGTCCAGACTCGATTATTTACAGACCGCCGTCATATAGCTGGAATATTGCTGAGTGCAGCGTTAAACAACAAATCAATCAATTATGAAGCCAGCATAATGCAGAGGAGGCCTACTGTAGGCCTGATTTTACTGTTTTATAGTTTCTTAATGCACTACGGTACCATAACATGTGAATTACTGGACATCTAATAATTTCTTTAAATTGTTCTGACAGAGGTGCAGATATCAATGGCGAATGTTGGTATTTGTGGGTCGGATGTACATTACTGGACACACGGAGAGATTGGGGACTTCATTGTTAAGGCTCCCATGATTCTGGGGCATGAGGCCAGTGGGGTCGTATCCAAGGTTGGACAAGGGGTCACCTCACTCAAAGTCGGTAAGCCAATCTACAGCATGTTCTGAGATACATTTATACGTAGCCTATTTATGTACAGGTAACAGGGACCAAATAGTTGTTTTGTGTAAATGAATTATTAAATAACATCCCTTTGGCTGCATGGCAGGCCCAACAAACAGACGTACTGGTTTTATGTTAGTGTATTCACAGGACATGTTTTATCTCTTTTAGTTGTGTATTGGTAGGCATGCTTGTGTTGATAGCTGTTTGATGTTTATTTAATTTCACACAACAAGAAAATAATTGCAGGTGATCGTGTTGCCATTGAGCCAGGGGTGCCATGTAGAATCTGCAACTACTGCAAGTCTGGACGCTACAACCTGTGCCTTGACATGGCATTTTGTGCCACGCCCCCTTACCACGGAAACCTGGCAAGATTCTACACCCATGCTGCTGATTTCTGCTACAAGTGAGTCACTCCATTTCATTCTTCTGTCAAGGGTTATGTCAGAAGAAGTTTTTCTTCTAGAAGCCTAATCATTTATTGTGCACATTGAGTCATCCTTAAAAACATTCTGAACCAGAACCAAACGTTTAGACCAGGATAAAAGTATTTACTAAGAAGTCTATCAATTGATGAAAGGTGAAGCTGTATATCTGTGTGACCTGCACATCCGTGGACTGATGCTAGGAATACCTGATTTGACCCACCAGGAGGAAAGGGACCTTATGGGTGCGAGGAAACAATTGTGCTGTCACGTCATAGGGAGGGACGTTTGACATCAGCTTACTTCTGCTTGTCGTAAAAGGCGACTAACGGGATCGGGTGGTCAGGCTCGCTGACTTGGTTGATGCATGTCATCGATCCCAATTGCGTGGATCGATGCTCATGATATTAATCACTGGATTGTGTGGTCCAGACTCGATTATTTACAGACCGCTGTCATATAGCTGGAATATTGCTGAGTGTGGCTTTAAACAACAAACCAACCAACCACCCATAAGGTCCCTTATTTCATGGTTGGTCACATATGTAGAAGATATCTGTTGTCAGGTTGCCCGACCATGTGAGCACAGAGGAAGGCGCTCTTCTGGAGCCACTGTCTGTAGGTGTTCATGCCTGCAACAGAGCCAATATTGGCCTCGGGGACAAGGTGTTGATCTGTGGTGCAGGTAGGTGGTCCAGATGGCATGATTAATTTTTCATGCTGTAAGTCAGTGGTTTGCCTGATCGGGACTGAATTATTCACAGGCTGCCATGACATATTGTTGAATACAGCACCAAAGCACCAATCAATCACTCGCTGAAATACTTTATAAAACTCTTGTCAAAACAGTCAGCAGTTTAAAGTTTCACTCCCGTTATCTACTGTCTCCAGGTCCCATTGGCCTTGTCAACCTGCTGACAGCCAAGTCCAGAGGTGCAGCTGACGTCATCATCACAGGTGAGCCACTCATGAAGACTAACTGAAAAATAGTCTCAAACATTAAAGCCAGACACTCCCCCACAGAATAGGAGTTAGCAGTATGTATCGATATCGGCAGTACCTGGCTTGTCTTTTCCAGGCTTGATGTTACTTTGTAGACTGCCATGGTGTAGCTTAAAAAACACTCACATTCTCCATACTTGCCCACAGTCTGAGTGATGCTATCCACAGGCATGTTTCAGCATCCCTTCATTATGAATAAGGGGACACCGGTGGCCCTGTCATCTGAGGCGCTGCCATTCGCTGTGCGGAGTTGCGTCCCTTGGGCACGCCAGACACCTATGATTATGAGTTTGAATCCCGGGGCGCCCTGATATGTTTCTAGGTTTGCCAGCACCATACCTGTGCTTGTGGGTCTCACCAAAGTGGTAAACGTCTGAAACCTGCATCACTTCGGGCTTTCCTCCCATATTAAACTGACATGCCTTGGTATAACTGGAATAATGTTCAAAGCAATGTTAAACCCAAATCGCTCTCTCTTTCATTGTGAATAAGACCAATATTTTCTTTTGCATTTTCAAAGCTTGAAGGACACAGGAATTGGCTTCCTACATTTTAACTTCATGTGTGTATAAGCTCTCAAACATGTTCAACATTTTACAGATATTGACGAAAAGCGACTGGAGTTTGCACGTAAGCTTGGAGCCAATTTCACACTTAAAGTAACAAGCAGGGATCCTCGTGTAACAGCTCAACAGATCGAGGAGACCCTTGGTCAACCTGCAGACAAGACTATTGAGTGTAGTGGAGCACCACCCAGCATCAGGACCGCCATATATGTGAGTAACTATTGTAACAGACAGGTCATACAATATACATGGAGAGAATACCCTTATAAGGGCAATCATGTATGTGATTTACCATGACAACATTTAGTGTGTACATGATAAGAGCTGCCTCATATCTCGGTAACCATGCCACTTTATTCTCCTTGTTGCCAGGCAACAGCATCAGGCGGATGTGTCGTGTTGGTTGGACTGGGTGCAGCTGATGTTGAGTTGCCGATCGTGAACGCGGCTGTGAGAGAGGTGGACATTAGGGGGATCTTCAGATACGTCAACTGGTGAGTCAAGGTTTCGCAGCAATTTCCAGGTGTCCTGATTCGAGAACATGCAAATCAAGGTACCATGTCCCAGAATAGAGGGGCGTTGGGGTATTCTAGTGGTTAAAGCCTACAATATCAAGCTGAATACCACTCACTCACTCACTCACTCACTCACTCACTCACTCACTCACTCACTCACTCACTCACTCACTCACTCACTCACTCACTCACTCACTCACTCACTCACTCACTCACTCACTCACTCACTCACTCACTCACTCACTCACTCACTCACTCACTCACTCACTCACTCACTCACTCACTCACTCACTCACTCACTCACTCACTCACTCACTCACTCACTCACTCACTCACTCACTCACTCACTCACTCACTCACTCACTCACTCACTCACTCACTCACTCACTCACTCACTCACTCACTCACTCACTCACTCACTCACTCACTCACTCACTCACTCACTCACTCACTCACTCACTCACTCACTCACTCACTCACTCACTCACTCACTCACTCACTCACTCACTCACTCACTCACTCACTCACTCACTCACTCACTCACTCACTCACTCACTCACTCACTCACTCACTCACTCACTCACTCACTCACTCACTCACTCACTCACTCACTCACTCACTCACTCACTCCAAGAGTAGCATCATCACATTATTGAAATATTTAACATCTAAGGTTCTACAATGTGACTCTTCTGGTCCACCATATGCAGATGAAGTAGGAACAATAAAGGGCTGATGAAGGCAAACTTGAGGAACAAGTATATCATGGTATATATACATGCCCAGCTGTTGCCAAAATGGTAGGCTTGTAGAGTTACCCCCCTTTGATAACCTGACCCACCACTGGCCACAATGTAGCTACAAAATTAACTAAACATGTGGACTTGCATAAGTCTTTAAGGCAATACTTATTAGTTTAAATCATAGTTTCTAGATTATGTAAATAATAACAACAATTTGTTCCCATAAGAGACTGGAGTCACTGTCCACATATCAAGAGGATAGAATTACTACACATCCGTGGATTTATCTTTCAGTACAGCCTTGGAGCAAGGCTATTAAACATGCAGAATTAAACGTTTTAAGATACAGTCCAGCATCATGCATTAGGCTTCTCAGCGTAATTCCAGGGCAGATGTAATCCACAGTGCTCCATGCCCGTTGTAAGAACAAAATTATTAGCATATGCTCGTTGTGTCATCATGCCAACATGAATGAGTGCTTATATGCTATCAGCCATTGTCATATGTCTCAGAAATAATGTGATGCCGCTCATCGCGCACTCACTCTGTTTTGAATTAACCCACTGCTCTCTCTATGGTGGCATCTGGCCAGGTTGATGTGAAGCCACTCACTCACTCACTCACGCACGCTCACTCACTCACTCACTCACTCACTTACCCCACTGATCTGTCTATGGTGGCATCTGGCCAGGTGGATGTCAAGTCACTCAATCACTCACTCACTCACTCACTCACTCACTCACTCACTCACTCACTCACTCACTCTGTTTCAGTTACCCCACTGCTCTGACTATGACGGCATCTGGCCAGGTGGATGTCAAGTCACTCACTCACTCACTCACTCACTCACTCACTCTGTTTCAGTTACCCCACTGCTCTGTCTATGGTGGCATCTGGCCAGGTTGATGTCAAGCCACTCATCACTCACTCACTCACCTACCCCACTGCTCTGTCTATGGTGGCGTCTGGCCAGGTGGATGTCAAGCCACTCACTCACTCACTCACTCTGTTTCAGTTACCCCTGCTCTGTCTGTGGTGGCGTCTGGCCAGGTGGATGTCAAGCCACTCACTCACTCACTCTGTTTCAGCTACACCACTGCTCTGTCTATCGTGGCGTCTGGCCAGGTGGATGTCAAGCCACTCACTCACTCACTCTGTTTCAGTTACCCCACTGCTCTGTCTATGGTGGCGTCTGGCCAGGTTGATGTCAAGCCACTCGCTCACTCACTTACACCACTGCTCTGTCTGTGGTGGCGTCTGGCCAGGTTGATGTCAAGCCACTCACTCACTCACTCACTCACTCTGTTTCAGTTACACCACTGCTCTGTCTATGGTGCCGTCTAGCCAGGTTGATGTCAAGCCACTCACTCATTCTGTTTCAGTTACCCCACTGCTCTGCCTATGGTGGCGTCTGGACAGGTTGATGTCAAGCCACTCACTCATTCTGTTTCAGTTACCCCACTGCTCTGTCTATGGTGGTGTCTGGCCAGGTGGATGTCAAGCCACTCATCACTCACTCACCCTGTTTCAGTTACCCCACTGCTCTGTCTATGGTGGCGTCTGGCCAGGTTGATGTCAAGCCACTCATCACTCACTCTGTTTCAGTTACCCCACTGCTCTGTCTATGGTGGCATCTGGCCAGGTTGATGTCAAGCCACTCATCACTCACTCACTCACTCTGTTTCAGTTACCCCACTGCTCTGTCTATGGTGGCATCTGGCCAGGTTGATGTCAAGCCACTCATCACTCACCGATACAAGCTGGAACAGAGCCTGGATGCCTTCGAGGCAGCGAAGAGAGGGGAGGGGGTTAAGATTATGATCAACTGTGAGAGGAAGTAGAATCTTGACATGGACAACATGATCTGCCCTCGGTCTTCTCCACCTTCATGTATTGTAATGGATTCAGCAATATATGACAAGACATTAGTTCAGAATATTCAGGAAGCAAATGGAGAGCCAATGCTGGTTATGTACTTCGGAAATTCAGTACAGACCCAACAGCCTGATAGTTCTCCATGACTCCACTGAATATTGATGACAAGGGGTGGGGAGGGTATATATTTTATTAACTCTTTATGAAACTCTTTATGCAATAAGTTCAGAATAAATATGTCCAAAACAATGTAGTACATTGTATTTGTTACATTTGTGAATTATTCTGATTTCTTTCTTTAAAAAAACCCCATTTAATTCTCAAAAAATGGGTTTGAAAGATTGTTTGAATTGTTTTAGTTAAAAAGTGTGATCTCAATCTTGGCGTTAGACTGAAATCTGTCTGACATTAATGGCATCTTGTTCATCAGTACAGCTGTCTAAATGGCAAGCAATTGTTACGGAGGTAACAAGGGACTGCATTCTGTTGATGTAGACATCTGCAGAAGGCTTTTTCATTTTCCAAATGCTCACCCGGGTCCAACACCAATGACAGTTTCTATACATACAGGGGCGGTCGGGTAGCCTAGTGGTTAAAGCGTTCGCTCATCACGCCGAAGACCCGGGTTCGATTCCCGACATGGGTACATTGTGTGAAGCCCATTTCTGGTGTCCCCCGCCGTGATATTGCTGGAATATTGCTAAAAGCGGCGTAAAACCATACTCACTCACTCACTATACATACAGTGTCTCTTTGGGCTTCCACTTTCTCTGTATTAATAAACTCAAAACCACAGGAACACTTCAGTCATCATTACACGAACTGTGCAGCTGTAGTGCAGTGTCAAAATTGCAAGTGTGTTAAAAAAAGGTCCTGGTCATTGAAATTGTATGTACAAGTTTTCAGTATTTAATATTTCCGTGTGAGCTACACAACATGATGACGTATATGTACAGGAACTGTTAGTACATCTATCACAGTATTAGAAATGCTTGCTGAAATATATCAAGAAATGTATCGGCCAAATATTATATGAACAAGAAAATCCAAAAATTTCAAGTTTTATTAACCACATTCCTTGTTTATGGCTATGTTTATATCATCCTGAAATGTTCACCGGAATTTGCATTCATACAAAGATCATCCAACAACTGACTGAATATTGCATTTAATGTCTTATGTTGTATGTTTTAATCCTCTGAGGTTCATGTTGTGCTGGCTACCCTTGATGGGTTTGATCTGGTCACACAGACCAGTGAGCATTGAGCCATGGACTCAGGGGAGGAACACACCCTCCTGGGTGGGACGGTCACAGCTGGGTGACCTTCTAGGGGATTCCCCGTCTGGACATACAATCCTCGCTTGTGTTCTGGTTAGGCAAGCATGCGGCGTGGTGCCCCGGGGGATGGCTGTGAGTGCATGTGGGAGATTTGTGTATCTTGTGCTGACACGGCTGATACCACCTGTTTCTTGTGGATGGTTTGAAGGTAGCACAGGACTGACATCAATGGCAGCTCACAACTACGGGTGTATTTTACAATAGTATTTGCATTTTTCTCGGTAAAATCAATGAATATATTTTGTGGGAATGAATTGATTGGTACCACTGATGGAGCAAGAATTTTGATTGGTTGTTGGAATGTTGAATTTGTGTCACACACGTCTTATATACATCATTTTCATAGCAAGTAGTCAGTATTTTCCAATATATACATGCACGAAATATATATTGTGCACTTGATCACTCTTTCCATGTGATAACTTTGTAAAGATTATCAGTCAACACTAGTTTCAATCTCATTAGAATTAGATCTTAGTTCTCGCTACTGCTAAAGCTTTTTTTAGTGGTAGCGAGAACTAAGATCTGATTTTAATGAGATTGCACTAGTTTATGAATGTGCTGATTGATCATATGTTCTGACTGAAGTGTATATGATTAATAATGCTTGTTGCATATGCCATGATTTATCATAAATTGTAGGATATTAAACAGTGTTATCCACTTGCGTGTGGATAAGCTAATGAAATAGCATGTAGTGGCTATTAAGAATGTTGTTAACAAAGTAGTTAGAGACAAGACAGTATATCTATGATCACTAACAACAGGGTTTGTCGAAAGGGATTGGTGTGATTGGTATGTTGCTGTTTGTATGTGGACATGTATATTTGTTCAGGGTAATGTAACATGATGTGATCATGTTTGTGTTGTTTTGTTATTTTCGGTACCTTTTCATTACCCAGACTCATTTAATAAAAATAACGTCTTAAAAGAATTTTGTGTTGTTTGTTCTGTAGTCAGTATACAGATGGATATATTCTCCTCATGTCATTTAGCATTCTTGTTGCTTCTGATGTAGACAAGCCAGTTGAGGCAGGCGGGTAAATTTGCTGATCGGCCGTCGGCAGATTTGTATATTTATATTCTTAATTATAACATGGGAATTCAGGTCACTATATAAGCCTTTAAGGGTAACATTGTCCTGATAGACGACTTAATGGATCGGGTGGTCAGACTCGGTGACTTTGTTAATTGCGTTTCTTCGTACCTCACGTCGTGGATCGTTGCTTATGATATCAATCACTGGATTGTGTGGTCCAGACGCCGTTGTGTAGCTGGAGTACTACTGCTGTGTGCGCTAGAGTATTCGCGTACTTGCGAATGGAGTCTGTTACATCACTTTGTCGACATTGATTGACTCGCCTTCCCCTTTCTTATAACTTCAATGTTTTAATGATCTTGAACTGTTGTCTAATGACAATCCTGTGATTGGCACCATGAGCATCGATCTACGCAACTGGGATGCGATGACATGCATCAACCAAGTCCGTGAGCTTGACCACCCGAACCCCTTAGTCGCCTTTATGGCAAGCATTGGTTGCTGAAGCCCTTTTCTAACCCGGATCTTCACGGGACGATCTTGAACTGCTCCTAGTACTATCGGGGCGGTCGGGTAGCCTGGTGGTTAAAGCGTTCGCTCGACACGCCGAAGACCAGGGTTCGATTCCCGACATGGGTACAATGTGTGAAGCCCATTTCTGGTGTCCCCCGCCGTGATATTGCTGGAATATTGCTTAAAGCGGCGTAAAACCATACTCACTCACTCACTCCTAGTACTATCAAGGACGTCAGGATGGAGGACGAAGTAGGCGTCCTTGTTGATAACCCCGTACACAAGGCACGCTGAATTGATGGCAGAAACACCCAAGGAGCTGTAGTTCATGAGGATATGTTTGGTGACTATCGCGATAGGTGGCACCTTAAAGTAGAGAACATGTTTCTAAAAAGGAAGTGCCCAGATATCTGAAAACACACTTTTCGGTTTCAAATACAAAATTAACTTCATGTTGTTGGGAAATACGATTACCTTGGATTTTAAAGCACTTGTAAGTTCTGTAAAGGCATAAACACCTGAATGTGAGTGTGGTTTTTCGCAATATTCCAGCAATCCCACGGCGGGGGACACCAGAAATGTACTCATGTCGGGAATCGAACCCGTGTCTTCGGCGTGACGAACGAACGCTTTAACCACTAGGCTACCCGACCGCCCCCATAATATCCTGAATTATCATTGAGAGCAAATGTTGAATTCTTTCAAAAACCTTTCGACAGGCTTTAAAGCTTCTACTCATGAATTTAATTAAGGCATGGGGTATCAAAATGCATATCTGCCAGAGCAGCTGCATCTAATGTTTTGCAAGTGGCAGTGGAAATAATTTCTTTAAAACATCCTTCATCCAAAATTGTTTCAATATGTTTCCAAATTCCAACGAAATTAAATCTTCTTTGTCTATATAATATATACAACATTCAGCATATCCCCTCTTATCTGGACAGCGTTATCTATCAATGTTCTGTCATGTGATTATCAACCCGTAAGTTTTCGACCTCTATGCAACCTTCAACAATAAAACAAGGCGGGTGTCGTCTACCTTCACCCCAGTTCTGTCTTTTTTCCGACTGAGTTACCTCGTGAAAGCAAATCTGTGCTCTGAACCATAGATATAAACTACTCAAAAGAAGTTAAGGATCAGCAGATTCGTTCAAATTACTATTGTTAATCTGTAATGGTATGAAAGATAAACTACACATGTGTAGTAATAGAAAATAATTGGGTGATCCTTAACTTCTTTTGAGTAGTATACTACCTGAGTAATTGTTTTAATGCTGCCCTTAACGCCGAGACAGTACCGCGTCCATTAGGCTAACCTTTAGTCTGTGAAATCTTATATTACAAAATACTCTTCTCGACTCTAAAAATAATGGGAAAAAAATTCCCTATGCTGATTTCATGTGGAATAGAGCTAGCTAGAGCAGGCTAAACTTGCTTTAGCATAGGTTTCTTGATTGTTGTTTTTTCTCCATAAAATAAATATATTCCACAGTGATGGTGCAGGAGTACCCTTGCCTGGCTGTTTAACAACCCTTATGGGTTAGTCCGTTCCAACATGGATACCACCGAAAGAACAGCCATCAAAGGCTTATATTATGATCAGTATGAAACAACACTCTCTTTAGAACCTATTTGGGTCGTAACTAAACTACGTATGTGGCTCACTATAAAATGACAGCAACTCACAGGCTATCTATAGAAACTGGGAGATGGCAAACAATATGAACATGCAACGGGGCTGTCTAAAAGTCGGACTGGCCGGGTCAGCGGGAAATACTAATAATGGATTGCTTCATATTAAAACGAAAAGTGCTTATAGGGGCAAATACTAGTATATATGCAACGCCTCAATTGGCGTGGAGCAATGTCACTAACAGGCAAAAAGAGAAGTGTCTACCACAGCACTTTTGAAATAATCAGCATAGAGATAAGTCCAAATCTTTTAGGTCTTCTATATATAAACGTTCTATATGCTCCACTCTTTGTTTTGTCAATGTAAACAGTATGTATGCTTCTCAATGTCTCTACAGTGATAAACGACAATAAAAATACATCCTCTTGTTCTCCCTGCTGTCATTCAGCCTTCACCTTCACGGCGCCGTACCCCGACTGCAGCGAATGACACACCGAATTATATCATGACGAAGACATTCTCCATTATCAGTTTCATTGTGCTGATAAGAAACAATACCTCGTGTAATGACACCTCTAAAAAAGAACCGTCGATAATACTCTTGGTTACTAGGTCAAGATGCAGATACGCACGGTTTCATTAAAACAGAGAGAAGGTGGAAAGGCATGGCGGATACAAAAAACCACTTTATTTCTGTATAAATTATAAATCTTAATTGTGCACACACACCCCCCCCCCCCCCCCCCCCCCCCCTTTTAAAAAAGCTGTATCCGCCCATGATAGGGGTGGGTGGGGGGGCAACGAGAGGGAGAGGGACGGTGAGGAAGGGAGGGGGGAGAAACGAGGGTGATTACTATAGCTGTTCTACCAATGGCTTTGATATCTTAGATAAAACGATACCCCTAGAACACGTGACACACATTATATCCAGTTAGATGTTACATAACACGTATAAACGTGTGCACACAAGCTGATACTCCAGAGTTAATTTAGGTCGTCCTTCATTCAAATGTAAAGAAGTTGTGTGCTCGTACAACCCGCTCTACACCTGTCAGTGAAACCTGAAGACGTGGACACAATGGCAGACGTGAATCTTTCCGCCATCATGTACAAGAAGGGCGACTTGAGGCTTGTCAGTATTGAATTGTATATTATGTACCTGATGCATTATAATTTGATAATATAGGCCCATAAGCACTGATCAGCTGGGTAAAGCAGTTTACATTTCTAATTTATCAATTCATTGTTCAATAAAACACTTCATGAGTTACTTGAGGAGACTTGAACTAAATGTTATATGAGTTTGGGTGTTCAGTTAGTCCTATACGAGGTGTGGCCAGGTATGAGCCTAAGTATGCAGGATGAATAGTACACCCTTAACAGTTTGTATGTATTAAGTACAATACTTTCCTTGCTTACAGACTGCATTGAAACCAAATACACAACCAGGCAGCATATCTAAAATCCAGGAATCATTCTCTGTTGATAACAATACGTAGTGTTGGCTATCGCGCTGTCGTCCGATAACTCCATCTGAACTGTAATAACCATCCGTGCGCGCGCGCGTGTGTGTGTATGTGTGTGTGTGTGTATGTGTATGTGTGTGCGTGCGTGCTTGTGCTTGTGTGTGTGTGCTTGTGTGTGTGCTGTTGTGTGTGTGTGTGCTTTTGTGTGTGTGTGTGCTTTTGTGTGTGTGTGTGTGTGTGTGTTTTCCACGAGTCACATGGTCACCATCTTTGTCATAAGGTGTTGTCTTGAAGCAGACCCGGCTTAGTTTATGGAGCGATTGGTGACCATGGATCAGTCTCGGGATCACCACTATCAGCCTGAGACTAAACAACAGTGTAGCGTTTTAGTATCATATAACCAGTCACTCGCTTTATCCATACGATGTCTCTTTATAAATGAGTGCGCACGTGTAACAGCGCCGGAAGTGTGTGTGTTGTGCGCTAGCAGACCACATGGCTGCCGACTACACTTGACTGAGTGTATTGACATGTAATGAGAGAATACAACCTTTCCCCGGAAAGCCAAGTGTTTGTTGTAGCTGCCAAAGTCATCACATAAATTGGCGACGAGGTAAAACTGGATGTCTTAGCGTTTTTGTGGACATTTTGTGTGATTAACGTCCGTCGTGTTTCACTCGCTCCATAAACATTGCGTCGTCTACCTCCGGGAAGATCGACGAATTTAATACAGAGACTGACAGCTGGGACATTTATTGTGAGAGGTTAGACTTGTACTTTACGGCTAGAGGTGTTGATGACGAGGATGATGTGATGAAACGGGCTATTCTGCTTAGTGAAATGGGTAAGACAGCCTACACACTTCTCCGGAATTTGTGCGCTCCTACGAAACCTAAGGAAATGAGGTTTGCTGAGATAGTGAAAGTCATGCGCGATCATCAACACCCAACACCGTCAGTGATAGTTGAAAGACTTAAATTTCACAAGAGGGATAGAAAGTCTCAAGAGAGTGTTGCAGCGTATGCTTCCGAGTTGCGCAAACTGGCAAGTACATGTGACTTTGGTACTACTCTTGATGATTCACTTAGAGACAGACTAGTTTGTGGCATTAATAATGATGCAATACAGAGGAGATTATTAGCAGAGAAAGCTCTGGATTACAATAAGGCTTTTACACTAGCACTGTCAATGGAATTGGCAGCAAAGAATGTAGAAGATATTAAAGTTGGTGCTTCAAGTGTTTCAGCAGCTACAGGGGGTAACATGCACAAGATGTCATCATCTCAACATGCTCCTGTCTACCCGCCATGTGACAGATGTGGTTTACGAAATCACAAATCTCCGGACTGTCATTTTCGTACCTCAAAGTGTTACAATTGTGGTAAGATTGGCCACATTGGGAAGGTATGTCGTCAGTCACAGAATAGTAAAGGTTCTCGTTGTGGACGTGGCTCGTATCGATCTAGAGGTCAAGGTCGAAGTCGGGGTCAGCACAAGCGTTCAGCGACAAATCAGGTCACTCCTGATAACTATGATGATGTTGAAAGTGAAATATATGACATTTACAAGATGGAGACTAGCTCTACACCTTTTGTTGGGAGGAGAGAGAAGGAACCACCAATGTTTATTGATTTAGCACTTAATGGTCAGCCATTAAGCATGGAGCTGGATACAGGTGCAACATTTTCAGTGATTAATGAGGACACTTACAGATCGTTAGGGAAAGATCCACCCAAACTAGGACCTCCTCATACCTTGTTACGTACTTACCTAGGTGAGAAGATACCTCTGCTTGGTTCATGCTCAGTGAAAGTGAACTACGGCAAACAGTCAGCAGAACTGCCAGTGATTGTAGTGAAAGGGAGAAGAGTTAATCTCTTTGGTCGCGACTGGCTGCGACATGTTCGTCTAGACTGGGGAACAATCCTCAGAGTAGATTGTGATGATGTGCAAAGTATCCTTAACTCACATTCCGATGTCTTCAAGGAGGAACTTGGTGAGTTGAAAGATACAAAAGTGAAGATTAACATATCTATTCCTTCACAACCACGCTTCTACAAGCACAGGAACATGGCCTATGCCTTGAGGGACAAGGTTGAGAATGAACTTGAACGGTTAGAGCAGCAGGGTGTCATAAAACCAGTGCAGTACTCAGAGTGGGCAGCACCCATCGTACCAGTGTTGAAGTCGGATCAGTCTTCAGTGCGCATATGTGGAGATTACAAACTAACAGTCAACCAGGTTGCTAAACCAGATTGTTACCCAATACCCAGGATTGAGGATTTATTTGCATCACTCTCAGGTGGTCGCAAGTTTACGAAATTGGACATGAGTAATGCCTACCAGCAGATAGTGTTGGACGATGATTCCAAGAAACTCACCACAATTAACACCCATAAAGGTCTATACGAGTACCAACGATTACCTTTTGGGGTGTCGGCAGCTCCTGCTATCTTCCAGCGGACAATTGAATGTCTTCTCAGCGACTTGCCACATGTGTGCGTCTACCTCGATGATATTCTCGTCACAGGTGTTGATGATGCAGAACACAACAAGAATCTGAATGAAGTCCTTGACAGATTGCAGAAAGCAGGTTTGCGTCTAAACGCTTCAAAGTGTCACGTCAAGAAAGACTCAGTCACTTACCTGGGACACCGGATTGACGCACAGGGACTGCATCCATTAGAGGAGAAGGTAAACGCTATTGTGTCTGCACCAGCTCCTCAGAATGTGACAGAGTTAAAGTCATTCCTTGGGATGGTACAATACTACCAGAGATTCCTGCCAAATCTCTCCACGACGTTAGTGCCACTACATGGGTTACTACAAAAGGACGCTCCATGGTCATGGACCAAGAAGCATGATACAGTATTTCTAAAGGTGAAATCTCACTTGTCTTCATGTAAGGTCTTGACTCACTACAATCCAGACCTTCCTCTCAACTTAGCAGCTGATGCTTCTCCATATGGAGTAGGTGCCATCCTGTCACACATCATGCCAGATGGTACTGAGAAGCCTGTGGCGTTTGCGTCACGTTCCTTGTCACCTGCAGAAAAGAACTATTCACAGCTTGATAAAGAAGCACTGGCAATAGTGTTTGGCATAAAGAAATTCCACCAGTATTTGTTCGGACGAAAATTTCAGCTGTTATCAGATCACAAACCCCTCATGGGTCTACTTGATGCAGAGAAAGGCATTCCAGTGATGGCGTCAGCCAGACTCCAGAGATGGGCCTTGATGCTGGCAGCGTATGATTACAGTATTTTGTATAAACCAGGCTCAAAGTTAGCAAACGCAGATTGTTTGAGCAGATTGCCTCTGCAAACCTCTGTGTCTGTGCCGCCTGTTCCAGGAGACACAATAATGCTCCTCGAGAACATGGCAGAATTCCCAGTGAATGTGCGACAAATTCAGTTTTGGACAAGGAAGGATCCCTTGTTAGCTAGAGTGAAGAAGTTAGTGGAATGTGGTTTTCCAGAAAACCTGAAGCCAGATACAGAGCTAAAGCCATATATTCAGAAGAAAACTGAGCTAAGTGTTCAGGATGGTGTGATTCTGTGGGGTAACAGAGTAGTGGTTCCACCTCAGGGTAGGAAACAGTGTGTAGATGTGTTGCATGAAGCTCACCCTGGAATAGCGAGGATGAAAGCTATTGCCAGAGGTCTTGTATGGTGGCCGTGCATTGATTCAGAGCTGGAGAACAAGGTCAGGACTTGTTCCATATGTCAGGAGAGTCGTTCTTCACCCTGCGAAGCAAAGTTACATCCGTGGGACTGGCCGTCCAAACCATGGTCACGTCTGCACATTGATTATGCAGGTCCCTTACAAGGTCAAATGTTCCTCATCATCGTAGACTCTCACTCTAAGTGGATGGATGTTTTCCCTGTCAACAGTGCAACTACGAGTGCCACTCTTGAGTGTCTTCGGAGAACATTTTCCATTCATGGTCTACCTGAGACAATAGTGTCTGATAATGGGACATGTTTCACAAGTGATGAATTTGCTATATTCATCAAGAGAAATGGTATTCAACACATCTGTACATCCCCTTACCATCCAGCGTCCAATGGACTGGCAGAGAGGAGTGTCCAGACGTTCAAACAGGGATTTAAGAAGCTCAGCGGCGGTTCCATCAACACCAGGGTGTCAAGATTCCTGTTCAGGTATCATAACACTCCGCAGACTACGACAGGGTCATCTCCAGCGCAGTTACTATTGGGAAGACGTCCACGTTCCCATCTTGACTTGCTTCACCCTGACATCGGTGTTAAAGTTCAACATAAACAAGAGAAGCAGGCACACTACCACAATAGACATACAAAGTCACGGGAGTTCGCTGTCGGTGATCTTGTTTACGTCAGGAACTTTCTTGGTAAGCCTAAATGGTTACCAGGGGAGATAATCCAGTGTACAGGTCCTATCTCCTTCAAAGTCAGCTTGGAAAATAACAAAATTGCGAGGCGACATGTAGATCACCTCATCAAGCATTATGTGGACCCCGATGCTGTGAAACCAGAATCCCCAGAATTGTTGGAAGAAAGTGAAGTGTCGAAGTCTGTCATCACTTTCTCACCAGAGCTCCCAGAGCCTAGTTCTGTACCAGTATCACCCGCAGACACGCCATTTCCGCGTACCAGGTTACCTACATGTGACACTAGTCCAGAACTGTCCTCATCTGTTGAGTTGAGAAGATCGACTCGTGAGCGTCGAGCTCCAGATAGACTAAATCTGTAAACTACTGTATTTCATTGTTAAGTGTTTTGGGTTTTTTTTCAGATTGAACTTTAAGGTGCTTGCTCAATTCATTTATTTCAGAAACCAAGTGAATGAACATTAAGTTTGTGAATTTCAGTGTTCAAGAATACTTCAGTGAACTTTATGGGAAAATTTCCTTTGAACCTCTGGAGTTGATCACTATTTCTTTCTCAGTGACTGATGAGTTAGTAACATTGTTCACTAATTGCTTAAACAACAAGTTGTTAACTAAAGGGGGAGGAATGTAGCGTTTTAGTATCATATAACCAGTCACTCGCTTTATCCATACGATGTCTCTATATAAATGAGTGCGCACGTGTAACAGCGCCGGAAGTGTGTGTGTTGTGCGCTAGCAGACCACATGGCTGCCGACTACACTTGACTGAGTGTATTGACATGTACTGAGAGAATACAACCTTTCCCCGGAAAGCCAAGTGTTTGTTGTAGCTGCCAAAGTCATCACAAACAGTCAAAACAGTACAGACATCTAACGTCTCCTCGGATGAAGACGGCAAAGTTTGTTCCATCAACTGACAAGATGATGACTTAGGTATTCTGGGATTCCAGCGAAATGCTACTGGTGGACTACCGGCCGAAAGGTCGGACCATTGATGACCAATATTTTGCTGATGTGCTTTTGCAATAGAGTCAGAATATCAAGGCTTAATGTCGTGGAAAATCAGCGTGCCTGATCAATGGTCAATACTCTTACGCTGTGGTGATATATAAGAGTGTGGCATCAAACAACATTCACTTACCCACCGGTTGTACAGGAACACCCTTTTCGCGAACACCTGGTGTCATCACTGATCTTCAATTATCCATTCCCATAATTTTCACCTCTATTTTGCCCAATGGAATCGTCGGATAATCGAAGTACTGAATGAAATAAATTTATGTTCCAGGAGGATCTACCTATGCCAGAGCCCAAACAAGGAGGTATTAGATTTTTTTGATATTCTAAAACATTTCATCATCTTAAATACTGAGAAAAGGAATTATTTGTTTCTAATGCACACATAGGAGTAAGCATGGTGGTTAGCCTCCAATATATGAAGCCTCCAACTTGCAGAGGAGATTCCAATAAGCCTTTTTTTGTTTCATGGTTTTGCTAATGCTCTGTGGAACCTTTTAACTCGCAGAGGTGCAGATATCGATGGCCAATGTTGGTATCTGTGGATCGGATGTACATTTCTGGACGAATGGAGAGATTGGGGACTTCGTTGTTAAGGCTCCCATGGTTCTGGGGCATGAGGCCAGTGGTGTCGTATCCAAGGTTGGACAAGGGGTCACCTCACTCAAAGTCGGTAAGCCAATCGACAGCCTCTGAGGCACTGTTTGTAACGCATGTTTATATTACTACTGTTTGTTTGGTTTACGCCACACTCCAACATTCCAGCTGTATGAATTATAACATACACTGTATATGTATCAACATCAATGATGCTTGTACGAATATGCTGTACATACCTTACCTGCCGAAAACATTATTACAAAGGGCTTTGCGACAAAGATATATCTGTTGTAATAATGTGATAAAGCTATTTCACTCAATATCATCAATATCAAAGCAGAAATGTCTTACAAGGTATTATATGACTGTGAAACTGTCAGTCCTTTACTGAAATGTCTCATACATATACTCTTAGATTTTATGTGATTTTTGGTTGTTCAATGTAAACATCCGTTGGTAAAAATGTGTCAAAGTTGATAAGTAATATAGAAAAGCAACAATCTGTCATGAAGGGATGGTTCAGAATGTTTATCATGCAAGGATTTGTGACAGAGATGGCATTCCGGTCGGCGAAACAATCAGCAGCGTTTCACCAGATAACGCAAGATATTAACCACTGGTGAACACAGAAACGAACAACCTTGACCTGAATACTGACCCTGATGAATATGCATGAATGGCATAGTCCATTACGTTCCAGGGTAGAGGGGTATATATTCGTACATGGTATCTCATGTTATCTGTACGTGTAACGCGCTTTTGTATCACATCAACCAACATGCAAGGCATTCAATACCGTTCTATGTTCAGATTTTGTCGCCCATTCGTATTGATGCACAGGCGCAGATCTGGGTTGTCACGTGATCAAGTAACGTGAATATTCCACCAATCCCGCATTCTTCTGTGAATTCGGCAATGACAGGCCTTACCTCTATGGGTTTAAAACTCGATTCAAGGACGAGTTAAAATCGTCCGTGTTTGTCAGTATATACTGTCATAACACCATTTCTTTAATTCAGTTGGTCCTGAGAAAATGTGATAGACTAGACCAGTCTTAGTGTCAAACACCTTTATTATCATGATTAAATGTTGTCTGAAGTACTATCACAAACCTATATCTAAATAGCTCAGTTTAAAATGAACCCGTGCTTGGTTTTAACACCATCTAGCATTTTGCTTCATTTTACTGTGACGCACACAAACTATACATGAGTACTTAGGCACTAATCATCATATTAACCCGTGTTTATTTTATATTTTCAATTCTATTTATTTAAAGATGTAAACATGTATGTTGTGTTGAGGCCACAACATGCTCATACCAAAACCGTTGTGCCCCTGAACATCCGGGTATAATAGGTCTTCACCAACCCATGATTGTCGTAAGAGTCGACTATGATTGTCGTAAGAGGCGACTATGATTGTCGTAAGAGGCGACCATGATTGTCGTAAGAGTCGACTATGTTTGTCGTAAGAGGCGACTATGATTGTCGTAAGAGGCGACTATGATTGTCGTAAGAGGCGACTATGACTGTCGTAAGAGGCGACTATGATTGTCGTAAGAGGCGACTATGATTGTCGTAAGAGGCGACTATGATTGTCGTAAGAGTCGACTATGATTGTCGTAAGAGGCGACTATGATTGTCGTAAGAGGCTACTATGATTGTCGTAAGAGGCGACTATGAGTGTTGTAAGAGGCGACTATGATTGTCGTAAGAGGCGACTATGACTGTCGTAAGAGGCGACTATGATTGTCGTAAGAGGCGAGTATGATTGTCGTAAGAGGCGACTATGAGTGTCGTAAGAGGCGACTATGAGTGTCGTAAGAGGCGACTATGACTGTCGTAAGAGGCGACTATGATTGTCGTAAGTGGTGACTATGACTGTCGTAAGAGGCGACTATGAGTGTCGTAAGAGGTGACTATGATTGTCGTAAGAGGCGACTATGATTGTCGTAAGAGGCGACTATGATTGTCGTAAGAGGTGACTATGACTGTCGTAAGAGGCGACTATGATTGTCGTAAGAGGCGACTATGATTGTCGTAAGAGGTGACTATGACTGTCGTAAGAGGCGACTATGATTGTCGTAAGAGTCGACTATGATTGTCGTAAGAGGCGACTATGAGTGTCGTAAGAGGCGACTATGACTGTCGTAAGAGGCGACTATGATTGTCGTAAGAGGCGACTATGATTGTCGTAAGAGGTGACTATGACTGTCGTAAGAGGCGACTATGATTGTCGTAAGAGGCGACTATGATTGTCGTAAGAGGCGACTATGATTGTCGTAAGAGTCGACTATGACTGTCGTAAGAGGCGACTATGATTGTCGTAAGAGGCGACTATGATTGTCGTAAGAGGCGACTATGATTGTCGTAAGAGGCGACTATGATTGTCTTAAGAGGTGACTATGAGTGTTGTAAGAGGCGACTATGATTGTCGTAAGAGGCGACTATGATCTCGACTATGATGTCAACCACTGCATTGTCTGGTTCAGACTCGATTATTTACAGAAAGCTCTCATATAACTTGGATATTGCAGAGCGCGGCGTTAAGCAACAAACAAACAGACAAACAAACAATACGGTTGCATGCCAAGCCAATTTATTAACATTTCACAGACATATATCACCTCCGAACTTTGAGTTTGCTAAATCTTGATCTTCTGATAAATAAAAGGAGTGAATTTCATTTCAAATACTAAACAACTTGTAGGTGATCGTGTTGCCGTCGAGCCAGGGGAGCCATGTAGAATCTGCAAGTACTGCAAGTCTGGACGTTACAACCTGTGCCCGGAGATGGTATTTTGTGCAACGCCCCCTACCCACGGAAACCTGTCAAGATTCTACACCCATGCTGCTGATTTCTGCTACAAGTGAGTCACCCTATTTCATTCCCCTATTAACAACGTCAGTCAGTTTTACTGTATGTGATATGTAGGAAAGTAAAACAAAGACTTGATTGATTGATGTTGGCTCTTGTGGCACTTATTTAAGTATTTGACTGCACACATTTCTACATGTGGAATATTAGGCCTGAACCCTTAGCGTCATGAGCCAACTTTTTCAATTAAGCTTGGAAAAGAGCTAGATTACCAAAATGATTAATCAGAATACCATGTTTCAATTGTCCAGGGCACGGTGGCCGGGTAGTCTAAGGCGCCGCAATTTGGTGCTGCATTCCTTGGGCACACCAGAAACCTATGATCATGGGTTCGAATCCCGGTTCGCCACTGTTATGTTTCTAGGTTTGTCAGCACGATACCAGTGCTCGTGGGTTTCACCGAAGTGGTAAACGTCTGATACATGCATCAATTTGGGCTTTCCTCCCACATTAAGCTGACACGTCGTGATATGACTGGAATAATGTTCAAAACGGCGTTAAACCAAACTCACTCACTCACTCACTCAAATTGTCAACGGATACCCTCACTCACTCATCTCCAATAATTGTCTTACCTTAACTGTCTAATACTGTCTACTATCAATTTGGATTGGTGAGAGGTGTGGCTTTCTATTTGTTATTCACATCAAGATAACTGTACTAAATGTCAGGTTACCCGACCATGTGAGCACAGAGGAGGGCGCTCTTCTGGAGCCACTATCTGTCGCTGTGCATGCCTGCAACAGAGCCAATATCGGACTCGGGGACAAGGTGTTGATCTGTGGTGCAGGTAGGTGTATATGCCGATATCAGAGACAAGGTGTTGATCTGTGGTGCAGGTAGATGTACATGCCGATATCAGAGACAAGGTGTGGTGCAGGTGGGTGTACATGCCGATATCAGAGACAAGGTGTGGTGCAGGTAGGTGTATATGCCGATATCAGAGACAAAGTGTTGATCTGTGGTGCAGGTAGGTGTATATGCCGATATCAGAGACAAGGTGTGGTGCAGGTGGGTGTACATGCCGATATCAGAGACAAGGTGTGGTGCAGGTGGGTGTACATGCCGATATCAGAGACAAGGTGTGGTGCAGGTGGGTGTACATGCCGATATCAGAGACAAGGTGTGGTGCAGGTTGGTGTACATGCCGATATCAGAGACAAGGTGTGGTGCAGGTGGGTGTACATGCCGATATCAGAGACAAGGTGTGGTGCAGGTGGGTGTATATGCCCATATCAGAGACAAGGTGTGGTGCAGGTAGGTGTATATGCCGATATCAGAGACAAGGTGTGGTGCAGGTGGGTGTACATGCCGATATCAGAGACAAGGTGTGGTGCAGGTGGGTGTACATGCCGATATCAGAGACAAGGTGTGGTGCAGGTGGGTGTACATGCCGATATCAGAGACAAGGTGTGGTGCAGGTGGGTGTACATGCCGATATCAGAGACAAGGTGTGGTGCCGGTAGGTGTACATGCCGATATCAGAGACAAGGTGTGGTGCAGGTAGGTGTACATGCCGATATCAGAGACAAGGTGTGGTGCAGGTGGGTGTACATGCCGATATCAGAGACAAGGTGTGGTGCAGGTAGGTGTACATGCCGATATCAGAGACAAGGTGTGGTGCAGGTAGGTGTACATGCCGATATCAGAGACAAGGTGTGGTGCAGGTAGGTGTACATGCCGATATCAGAGACAAGGTGTGGTGCAGGTAGGTGTACATGTTGACAAGGGACTGGGGGACGTCTGTGGTGTAGGTGTACGTAGGACGGAATAGGTCACCTGTTCATGCTTGTCGTAAAAAGCCCTCATGTGGTTGTCAGTGTTTGTGATTTGTCAGATTGCATCTCATCAATGACTTCCTGGCTTCCGTGACATATATGGTGAGTGAGTGAGTGAGTTTGGTTTTACGCCGCTTTTAGCAATATTCCAGCAATTTCACGGCGGGGGAGACCAGAAATGGGCTTCACACATTGTACCCATGTCGGGGGGAATCGAACCCGGGTCTTCGGCGTGACGAGCAAACGCTTTAACCACTAGTCTACCCGACCGCCCCTGGTTTTTTTTCTGAATTCAGCATTAAACACCAATTAGTCTCTGAAATAGAGAATGATGTAATGTCAAAACATCCACCAGTTTAACGGTACAGTCTTGATTCCTGCTATGAACTGTTGTCTCCAGGTCCTATTGGTCTCGTCAACATGATGACAGCCCGGTCCAGGGGTGCAGCGGACATCATCTTGACAGGTGAGCCGCTGGATGAACCATCGTCCTATGCCTCAATATACAGATGGAAACAACAACCCGACTAAAAGAGATTAAAGGACGGTACAACTTTGGGCATCACTGGCGGATCCAAAAGAGGGTGGTGTGCGTGCGTGCGTGCGTGCGTGCGTGCGTGCGTGCGTGTGTGTGTTGTTGGGAGAAGGATGGTGGATTGCTCGGCCAAGTCTCTTCGGGGTACTTGGGCATAATTAGCCTCTTTTTTCAAAATCATTGATATCGGGTTCACTGAAGTAATGACCGTTCATGCTTGAATAGTATAACCACCAGGTGAGACTGGAATCAAGTCTAACCTGTTCCCATGTTCAAAGTATCCACAACTGGGTCCGTACACTTCCTAGTGGAACACTGACATGGTGTAGCTTTACCTTTCCTCCCTCACTGCAGTACACTGACATGGTATAGCTTTACCATTCCTCACTCACTGCAGTACACTGACATGGTGTAGCTTTACCATTCCTCACTCACTGCAGTACACTGACATGGTATAGCTTTACCATTCCTCACTCACTGCAGTACACTGACATGGTGTAGCTTTACCATTCCTCACTCACTGCAGTACACTGACATGGTATAGCTTTACCATTCCTCACTCACTGCAGTACACTGACATGGTATAGCTTTACCATTCCTCACTCACTGCAGTACACTGACATGGTGTAGCTTTACCATTCCTCACTCACTGCAGTACACTGACATGGTATAGCTTTACCATTCCTCACTCACTGGAGTACACTGACATGGTGTAGCTTTACCATTCCTCACTCACTGCAGTACACTGACATGGTATAGCTTTACCATTCCTCACTCACTGCAGTACAATGACATGGTGTAGCTTTACCATTCCTCACTCACTGCAGTACACTGACATGGTGTAGCTTTACCATTCCTCACTCACTGCAGGCCTCCTCACAGATTTCATGGGGACATCCACATGTTCGGACTCATTTGTTCACTGTGAATAGGGCCAATATTTCCTTTTGTGTCTTCAAAGCCCAAGGGACACAGGGATTTATTTGATTACTGTTGACCTAATGTTTCAGTTAACAACCAAATCACAAATCAAAACTCAAAACTGTGGAGTTGTTTCCAGGATCGACATCACCCGATGATCGCCGTCGAGAAGTGCTGGAAACTCCTAAATGGCAACTGTGCGAACAATTTTGATTCTCAACGGTTTCGTGTGTGAGGTCACGACGTTTTCGATTTACGTTCGTACATATATTGCAGATATTGACGAGAAGCGACTGGAGTTTGCACGTAAGCTTGGAGCCAAGTTCACACTTAAAGTAACAAGCAGCGATCCTCGTGTAACAGCTCAACAGATCGAGGAGATCCTGGGTGAACCTGCAGACAAGACTATTGAATGTAGCGGAGCAGCACCAAGCATCAGGACCGCCATATACGTGAGTAACTATGGTAACAGAAAGGATCATACAACATGCATACCGGTATTAGGACTGCCTCTGTGGTCTAGTGGATAGATCGTCTGCTCGGAGCGCAGAAGGTTGTGGGTTCGATCCCGGCAGCGATATACCAAATGTCGTTAAAATATGGACTTGTTTGTACCCTTCCTGACTACGGGCCGACAAGTCCTTGATTTAGCCCCTTGATACGGGGGCCATGCAGGGTAAGCTTACACTATAAAATCGGCATTAATTTGGACTAGTACAAGCAGCCGCACAGTTAGATGTTCAGGTATTATTTTTGATGAATAATTCCAATAGGATCATTTATATAAACTGGTATATTATATAACAAATGTTATATAGCAAAGTATATTATAAATATCTATAGGCGATATTATGTTGACATTAATATTGTTTTTGACGACTGATCTGTTTCGTGTTGCCAGGCAACAGCTCCAGGCGGGTGTGTCGTTTTGGTTGGCCTGGGTGCCTACAGTGTTGAGTTGCCGATACTGAACGCGGCCCTGAGGGAGGTGGACATCAGGGGCAACTTGCGATATCTCAACTGGTGAGTCAAGGCAGGATTGTGTAGGTTCTACTGCGTGATTCGTTATTGATGGGTAGAAACTTGGTTAGTTGATTATACATGAGTGACATGTAGTGAAGTGTACGAAGTGAAGTGACTGTTGTTAACTATTTGTTTGTTTGTTTGTTTTTTTGTTGTTTAACGCCGCACTCTAGCTATATGGTAGCGGTCTGTATCGAGTCATGAGCATCAATCCACTCACTCACTCACTCTGCTGTGTCTATGGTGGCGTCTGGCCAGGTGGATGTCAAGCCACTCACTCACTCTGTCTATGGTGGCGTCTGGCCAGGTTGATGTCAAGCCACTCACTCACTCACTCACTCACTCACTCTGTTTCAGTTACCCCACTGCTCTGTCTATGACGTCCTCTGGACAGGTTGATGTCAAGCCACTCACTCACTCACGGTTTCAGTTACACCACTGCTCTGTCTATGGTGCCGTCTGGCCAGCTGGATGTCAGGCCACTCACTCATTCTTTTTCAGTTACCCCACTGCTCTGTCTATGGTGGCGTCTGGCCAGGTTGGTGTCAAGCCACTCACTCACTCTGTTTCAGTTACCCCACTGCTCTGTCTATGGTGGCGTCTGGCCAGCTGGATGTCAAGCCACTCACTCACTCACTCTGTCTATGGTGCCGTCTGGCCAGGTGGATGTCAAGCCACTCATCACTCTGTTTCAGTTACCCCACTGCTCTGTCTATGGTGGCGTCTGGCCAGGTTGATGTCAAGCCACTCATCACTCACTCACTCACTCTGTTTCAGTTACCCCACTGCTCTGTCTATGGTGGCATCTGGCCAGGTGGATGTCAAGCCACTCATCACTCACCGATACAAGCTGGAACAGAGCCTGGAGGCCTTCGAGGCAGCGAGGAGAGGGGAGGGGGTTAAGATTATGATCAACTGTGAGAGGAAGTAGACATGGTTGATATGGATCACATGACTAGCTCTCTAGCTAAGATCCTTTGCCACTTTTCAACCGCAAAGAATGTGGAGTTATCAGTTTGCTCTCGCACCTGCAAGTATGGTTAAGCAGCATCTGCCAATATTGCATGTTATGCAGAAGGAAATCTAAAGTCTAAAGCTGTATTATTGGAATATGTAATAAATGAATGAATAAAAATCAAATTGTTTAAATATTCTTTTAGTGAGTGAGTGAATATGGTTTTATGCCGCTTTTAGCAATATTCCAGCAATATCACGGCGGGGGACACCAGAAATGGGCTTCACACATTGTACCCATGTCGGGAATCGAACGTGACGAGCGAACGCCTTAACCACTAGGCTACCCGACCGCCCCAAATCTTATTTTAAGAATCTGAAACATATGTAGCAACACAATGGGACTCGGATTTGTTCGTGTCAGTAAAATATACTTAATAAATACTCTCTACGAATCCAACCTTTTCCTCCTCCCTCGTCAATGTGTTGGTTCTACATAAACAAGCACAAACAGATGCCATGGTAACATATGTCACTATTAGCCATTAGCATTATGAGAGAAGTGACTGAGATAGGGAGTTCAAGTTTCCATTTTTTTCTATCACTTTGCGGAGCTTTTAACGAACCGTAGGATCAATGTTTAAAATGAAATGAAACCCTAAAAACTTATTTTTGAGTGATTACTTTAAAGAATCGTTGATCGACTGAAATGAAAAAAATGACAATTTACTTGTACTTAGCTCTCTATGTTTACGCAATGAGGGCTGATAACTAAGTTACACCTCTGCAGCACGACTAGCGACCTTTGGGGCGTTCATGGATGTAACAATGTTTTACATACATAAATCTTCAACCTGAATTCAAAGTGTGAATTCTACTTTAACAATGCCACAATAGTATGCAAATTTTGTAAAATCCTTGGAATGAAACTTAATATGTCTGTCTGGAAATGTTGATGATGGTAACAATTTCACTAAAGTACTCACGGAAATGAAAAAGCAACTGTTTTTTCGACCTCAGATCTTAAATAAATGCAGTTAATATACAAAATATGTAAATATTCAAACAACTAAATTAGTACTTATTGGGCCGTGGCACAAATACAGCGTATCAAATGTTTTTATGCCTTTTTACACGTAAAAGTGTGTAAAAATGTGAATAAAACAGACTATTGTGAAACAGGGCATAACCAGGTGTAAGCAGATCAAGGTGATCTATGACACCTTGACGACAGGTGAGAACAGGTGCATAATGCCTATAGTCTGTTTCTGCTATGTCAATTTTGACTTAGTTTTATTTTTGAATGTTGAAAGTGCCGACAAATTACATCCTGTAAAGTACATTTTGTATTGTTCACCGAGATCAAACTAGCAAATCCAGACTAGTACTTTTCGAGTTGTTTTGTTATTTCGTATTTACAGCTACGTAACACTTTGTGTCGATTTTTAAATTGAGAAAAACAGGGTTTTTTTCATTTCCGTGAGTACTTTAGTCACCACTGAATACATCAGATGGACATCTCTGATAGCATTACTGCAAATTGCCTTTCTTTGAGTTTGTGGGGTTAGGCCACATGGAATAGCATTTCAGTAATATAACGGTTTGTCAGCATAAGATCATGATCATGTTATGATGCTAACAAACTGCCATAATCAGGAAGAATATGAGGTGCGAACAGTCAACTAGCACATCCTGGTACAACTACTGGAGGCAACTGTGCACATCACTTAACTGACTGGATCAGCCGTGCCTTCAACTCGCATAACAAAATTCTACTTCCTTACAGGATGCTATATGTTATCCGGATATATTGACTCATATATACTGATGACGTGCTGGAAGGCGACGTCACTGCTGGAAATGGTATGTTTGTAAGAAACGCGTGTCCATTAAGCAAAGTGAAGAAATCTATGTTTGACATTTTACATTTTTCGACTTCAGCATAGTTGGTATGCTGAATAGAGCCAATCATTCAACACTGTGTATGTGACTATGCTTGTGTCCCTCTGACAGAACCAATATACTTGTGACAGGTAACACGATCGGCCATTTGCTGATCTGACATATGCGATAAAGGTCTACGACCAAAATGCAATACACGCCACGCCACGCCACACTGTGTGGAGACGATAGACTCGGACTTACTGCATACATTGCATCCTCACGGATCAGAGACAGGTAAGTGTAGACAACACCATAAGAGTTCATACACGTATGTAGTTTTCGACACATCTTGCCTCACAGGTAGTTTTGGGGAAGAAATGTTTAATGAACATTTACTGAATTAACCAATGAAGCCGGGTTCCCAATGTATTGCGATTGGGAACAAACTGTTCTGTTACTAATAATGGACTTTGTATGATTGATCAGTTTGACAGAGACTGTCCTGGGCCCTGTTCCACAAAGCGATCTTAGCGATACGATTATCGTAATCCTATGTTAAAGTGTTGGGAGTTGCAATCACCGTAGCGCTAAGATCGCTTTGAGGAACGGGCCCCAGATGTACGTCAGGATTGTATGAATGGAATAGGAATTCAAAAAAGGTCGATAATCCGAACTCCGTAAACTCACTAGTCGCTTAAGTAATATGTATGATATATGACCCATGATGTATTTATCCCCTCTCTATCCTCAGTTTTCATCCAAGATGGCGTCCTACAGACTGGTGTATGTCCTGCTAACGATGGCTCTTCTTGGCAGTGCTCTGTGCCGTATGATGAAACTCACAAGGGGCAAGGTCGTGGATGACAAAGACTGCGCGGCCACAGGCAACAGCTACAGCAGCATCGACTGTGCACGTCGGTGCATGTTTCAGAAAACATGTAAGGCTTTTGTACGGTTGTGCAAGAATGACCACATGGTGTGCCCGTGTAAGCTCTGCTACAAAGACGTTACGCTGAAGACTGGGGATGGGTTGTATGGTGTCATGTCACGCCGGTAAGCGCTCATGACTAAACCGGACCCTGAGATTGTATAGGACCTCCCAGGGAGGCTACACTGTAACATTCTCGTCGCCGTGTACGTTCAGCTGGGCATGGCATCCGGGTATCTAAATAAATGGTCACAGCATATCTTTGTTTTCTTTACGTTACACAATTTGCATGGTAATTATCATCCTGTTGGGTTAACGCCTTATCAAAAGGCGGGTCTTCTCTAACGTTTTGTTCAAATCCAATGGTAATCTTGCAGTTGATTTGCTGTTTTGAATGAATACTATTCAAGGCGAGTCATTGCAAATGCTACCGGTCGGGCAGCATGCTTGCCCATTTCGCACCTGTTGTCATTACTCATTTTTAGTGAACCGTTCACATAAACTGCCTGAAAAATTAGTAAAAACTTGGATTTGACCAAAATGTTACAGACGTTGTCAAAGCGTTTCTAGGTTGAAAACAGTCACCGATACACTGCAAACTTGAGGTAAAACACAACCCGTCGGTTTGAGTGAGTGAGTACGGTTTTACGCCGATTTTAGCAATATTACGGCGGGGTTTTAAATATTTGCGTGCACCAGTGGAAAAAAGGCTAAATTCCATATTTCGGATATGGTATAAAATGCAATGGATCACTTCCCAGACATCACATGTAATGAGAAAGCACAAATATATAAAACGTTTTATTGCACAACAGAGACAGGTGAGGTGAGACTATTGCACTTATATAGCGAAGTGCATGCACGTGTGTATGTGTGTGGCTGCTTGGACTAGTCCGGACTAATGTCAAGTTCATAGTCCTTGCCCTCTGAGATATCATGCCACAGTTTAACATGAATCCCCAGACACAGTATACTCTGACTCCGAGCCGATCAGTCCTTGTTTAGCCCCTTAATCTCGAGCGCCAGGCATGGTAACAACAAGAACCATCTTTAAACGTCTTTGGGTATGACGCGGCCGGAGACTGAAGTCCGGATGTTAGCTCTACGGACGGATGCTCTACCACTAGAGGCGATCACAACACAGAGAGAGATGGGGGTGGGGGGGGGGAGGGAGAGAGGATGCCAACCACACCCATGTTCTTACTGTACACTTTCAACCAAACTGTTTGCCGTTACAGACAGACTGGCAGTATATACAGGCAGGACAGGGTACGAGTAGGCAGACCACGCGTGACGACGACAGTGGATGTCCGCTACTTGCGCTGTTTGCATTTGCAGATTCGTCACAGCGACGGAAACGGTAGTAACAGTGGTAGGACGCTACGTGCTACGTCGTTACGTGGTATGGCCTTGATCCATGAACTTCAACGTCGAAGACGGCACTGGTCAAGGACTGTCACTGTGGAGAAGAGTGCATTTTACTGACGAAAGATTCAGCATATTCAGCAACCCACCTTTTTACATTTTGTTTGCACAATGCCTACTATGATAACGTGATGATTTGGTTATTGAAGCAAAATTCATAATGGTTTACATATCGTGTTTGTGATTTTGGGGTAGGCCTTTTAGTGGAATTTTGTAAAAATTATACAATCCACTTTAAATCGGGGTGACTTGACATACCTCCGCTAGCCATACTCTCGACATACACGGAATCCATACCGGGATTATATATACAACACAGGTCTCCCTACAACTGGTGAAACGATCGCGTATATTCTGTACCCGGCTGGTGGTAATACCCAATCAGCTTGCAGGCCTGCCGGTCGTGCCGATTAAGCTACCTCCTCATTACCGCTTTTAAGATTCGTTTGGGTTGAGACAAATGCAGACCTAAGAATACGTACTTTCAATTAAACGCAACATATCTTAGTATACGTTTTCACACGTTTTCTCGGCCATCGTATTGTACATCATACTAGCTGTATAGAAAAACAGTCAAAACATGGACTTTTATCCGAAATAGGCCCTAGTAGAAGCGCGCGTAAAATATTCAAGATCATTACGCTCGGAACTGATTCAGGCGTGTGATGAATGGGGCATCGTAAAAGTATTTTGCAGACTTTGGTTACGTAGTGATAACATCTCGTGCCTGAAATGGTGTTTAACGTCGCGTCCAAGATTATTGCACTTATATAGCGAGATACACGCATGCACGTGTGTGTGTGTGTGTGTGTGTGCGTGCGTGCGTGCGTGCGTGCGTGTGAGTGTGTGTACGCGCTTGTACTAGTCCGGACTTATGCCGATTCATTGTGCTAGCACAGTCACTGAGTTACCATGCCGCAGTTTTACATGAATACCACACTCAGACACAGTATACTGACTCCGAGCCGACCAGTCCTTGTTTTAGCCCCTTAATGAGAAGCGCCAGACAGGGTAACAAGTGCCATCTTTTAACGTCTTTTGGTATGACGCGGCAGGGGATCGAACCCCGGACCTCTCTACCACTAGACCACGGAGGTGATTCGTGCATATCACGTACACATGGGTATAATGTGTTGAAAGAATATACATACTTACATAGGCCCCCTGTACTTTATGTTCCGAAGAGTCGAAAGGCAAGGATAAAGAGAGGTTTGGTGGTTAACATATATATGTCATAAGGATGATCGTCATGTGTTTTACTCCGAGTGGTTTGATCGTGCCTCATGCTATCAACCACTGTTCTGCCTGGCTCTAACTCGGTTAGTTGCAGTGCACAACTGTGTAGCTGGAATTGTGCCGATTGGATGTGAAACAACATTCACATTTTGAATGTATTTATGCATAGGAAGCAAGTCGAAAGGACCACGACGAATGGTCAGCTTTTCAACAGGGTCATACGTCATGTAAACGTGTGAAAGTGAATTCCTTATTATTCCCACGTTTTGGGATAGCATTGATTAATTCTACAATGTCACTGAAAAACGTCGTCCTTGTGAATGGGTTTGGTTTTGGTTTGTTGTTTTACGCCGCACTCAGCACTCTTCCGGCTATAAGACGGCGGTCTGTAAACAATCGAGTCTGGACCAGACAATCCAGTGATCTACATCATGAACATCGATCCACGCAATTGGAATCGATGACATGCATCAACCAAGTCAGCGAGCCTGACCACCCGATCCCGTTAGTCGCCTCTTACGACAAGCATAGTCGCCTTTTACGGCAAGCATGGGTTGCTGAAGACCCCGGATCTTCACGGGTCTCCTTGTGAACGAAACAAGTTCATTAACCATAGGGATACATGTGGCCCAGGACGATATTAAAGGCGTCGTGTTTTGCTCTGCAGATGGTCGTGGGTTTAAATTCCAGATTTGCACCAATAATTATCCTTGGTGAGTCAGCATATTACCGGTGCTTGTGAGTTTCACCGTGTGCTGAACACTTTGTTTTGTTTTTTGTTGTTGTTTGTTATAGCCGCACCCAGCAAAATTCCATCTATATGACGACGGTCTGTAAATAATCGAGTCTGGACCAGACAATCCTGTGATTGACAGCATGAGCATCGATGCACGCAACTGGGATACGATGCCATGCATTAACCAAATCAGCGAGTCTGACCACCCGATCCCTTTTGTCGCCTCTTACGACAAGCTTAGTCGCCTTTTACAGCAAGCATGGGTTGCTGAAGATGCATATATTTTTACCCGGATCTTCACTGGTAGGGTAGATTATCTGAAAACGCAATCATACGAATGGTGTTAACTTTACTCACTCAACCACATCTCGATGCACCCTTACTCATCATATTATTGTGTAAACACCATTTACGTAATTCCAGTGTCTCATTTCGTGCATACACCGGCTCCCATTTGGCCAGAAAAATAAGGCGTTTTGACCAAAATCTCACCTGCATGAGTATCCTTTAGTCATGTGATAACACAAGCCGGCAATCACACGTGCGCGCGCGCGCACGCACGCACTCACACAGACACACACTTTACAAAGCTTTGAGATTGTTCTGTTTAAATTCATTGCATAGAACATGATAGTATTTCTCCATGAATGTGTTTGTGGGCAAATGGCTTCACTCCAGGACAATGTTATAGCAGTGTACGGTGCCCTTAACACATAACGTATGGTACTTTTAAGAGGTCCCAAAAATCAACTTCTGTTATAACAGCTTAAAAACCAAAAGTAGTTTTACATTTGACAGACAATATTATCAACTTGAATTAATACAACACGTTAGAACTATACTGTAACAATACAAAACGCAGTTTTAATCTTCTAATTTATGTAGTATTCCACGACTAATTGAAAGTTGAAAAACGATCGCAACAAGACAATAAATAATATTTTCTTAAAATGTCTAAAAAAATTATTTCATCGACATCGCATTTTCATCGTGTTCCGATAAGGATCGATAATGTTTTCACATTTATTTAAAATATTAGACATTCGCCAACCATAAGATAATATCCGTGGTAAACTTTTGCCCGAATTGTATGAAGACAGTATAGCAACCATATTACAACAGATCCACGAATGTATGATGAAGATGCCTTCTACTACGTGAGTAAATCATGTTAAATTTCAATTCCACACTGCATAATGACATATCATGACGATCCTAAACATAAACTCGAAAAACTGCTTCCCTGATGACTATGTATAGTTATATTTCATGTCACTTTACAGAAATATTCATATAACGCATATTATTGTCACGTCCATATATACGTCACGAGGATGAGATACATTTCACCAATAAAAGGCGCAATATCAAAACCAGTTTGTCATTGAGTCATAAGCAGGGTCGATTTACCTTACAATCAAAATATCGTAAATAACAATCGAACTGTTAAAACCGTTGTCCGCAGCTGTGCACAGATGTTAGTCGGGAAGGCGGCAAACTACATTAAAATCGAACACTTATTTATGCATAGCGGCCGGGATAAGGTTGAAAGCAAGTTAGTTCAGTTGGTTTTCGGGACATACAAGTTACTGTTACCAACAGAAAAGCGCCGTGAGAGAAACTAACCAAATGTGGACCTGGCAGCAATGGTGGACGCACGTGGAATAGTTTGATTGTCACACATTTTCGTGTTACGTGGATATATTCCCATTCTCATTTGGATAGTGTCATGACATGAGTTCGTAGGATTGTGTCTTCCACTTTAGAAGGATTATACTCAGAGAATTGACTAACTGGAGTTGGTCGGATATTCATTGCGCCATTGTGACGTTGCGTAACAGGATTAAGACCTTTTTATACGTGTAATTCCGATGTATCTTTCGGATGTGACTTCGTGTGCAGTTGGAATTCAGTAGAAAGGAGGATAAATTCCATCTGTGTACATTTGTTTTAAGGAATTTAAAGTATCAGGATCCATTATCGACCGTGCGGATATACATAAATTACGTCAGCATTGCCAACGAGACCAACCCATCGTCCAATCATAATCAGCAGGTCATCCCGCTTCGGTAAGCGATATTGGGACACCTGAGTCAACAGGTAACGCCCAGGTATATACTGTACGTGCTACAGTATATTGATTAGTATTGTCATTCAGTAATCGATCTCCACCAACTGGCGGTTTAACTTCACATCTGTTGCGCTTCTTTGCACGATAAGGGAGGGGCGGCGTGCTAGTCATGTGGCTCAGTTCAATAGAAGTTTTATCTTGCATGGGCTTCTCCAGAAATCGGAAGCAGTTTAATCAGCTGATGATATATAACCAATTGTTGACGCGAATGATAACACACTTATTAATGTGTTGGTTTCCCAAATACCTGTTTATTAGCTCAGTACGAAATACACTATAAAAAATATATTGAGGATGGCGAATTGTATTTGTAAATAATACTATCTCTCTATGGATTATATTTCCTTTTATATAATAGTAAAAAAGAGAGTAAAGTGACTCTCTCTGTGTGTGTGTGTGTGTATGTGTGTGTGTGTGTGTGCCTTTAAGAGTAGGTTACATACATTCAGTTTATTTATTCGTGAATTCATCAAGATATTAAAGCGATATTTATTTAATTCATGGAGTGATGCCCGAAATCTACAATCAGATATTAAAATAAAATTGGTTTAAATGTTGTTTTATACACAGATCTATTTTTTATGAATTAGAAAAAAAAACATAATTTAAACAAATACAAGGATCTAGCAAAGAGGAAAGTGTAAATAATATTTAATCAAAGAAATCTGACCTCTGCAAACACACAAAGAAAACAGAGCTTCTCTGACAAGTAAATACATGTAAATGCATTGCTGTATAAATAGTAAACATTGACATCATAAATATGTTAATCTTATCCTCATATACAATGATAGAACATGACTGGTAGAGGTATTTTTTGCAGAGTCAGGATTAATATATTGGGTACATATATATAAACACATTGTTTGTATTTCAATGATATAACAGGTCTTATGTTTTCATATGTGTAAAATAAATTATATATTGATGCAGTATTTGTAAATAATTATTTATGGTATTTACATGATGGGTATCGAAGCATTATTGCATGAAATCTGAATTTACATGATTTTAACATGAAGTTATCTGCCTACACAGAAATATGGCCAGAAAATAATGTCTGTGCCTTTGATCAATAGAATACATCAACCTCACACAGTCGACAATGACCCACTCGGGAGCCAATATGGTTACCATTGTGAAACAGGGCCAACTGTTGCAGCTCCACTGAGTGTGAGGTGGAGTTATTGTATCATTGGGGTTCTTGTCTCTTGGTGAAGCAGTAATGTGCCACTGGACACAATGGTGTCAGATCTAGTACGGTAGTGTCGGTACAGGGGTCACTGTAATCAATTTGTTTATGCAAAGCAGCTGTCTCAATGTTCAGCCTGGTCAGAGTTTAGAGATATGGGTTGGTGTGGAGAAATAGTAAATATCTTTATTACATCTTTTGAAGTGATGAGGTTTGTGTATTTCTCCTTGACAACTGGGTGGTACAACCTAACCTTCCATTGTGTGAGTGCTTGCCTTGCAGTTGCCTCATGGTAGACACTCCATTCCATCCTCTGTCAAGTCTGTTGTGTCCATGTCGACCAGCATCATCCTTAGCTATGTATACATAGTTCATCCACCACACTAGACATAGGAATTGTCTTTTTTAAGACTAGTACAGAGGACAGGTGTAAACCTTGTTCCACTGGTCCCAAGAGTTTCTAACTAGTCCCGCTTGAACAAGACAAAAATGTTTACTATGTTTATACTTTCTGGCAGTTTTAGTCATTTCCAATTTGTAGCTAAATAGAAGCATTGAGAACTGGTTCAGAGTTATAGCCCTCAAAAGTTACTACTAACTAGTCAATGAAGACTACCATTATTCAATGTCCGAAATAATTGCCTGCCCGTCTGCTGCCTGCCCGTGGCTGGTAACTTTTCTGACGGGCTGCATGACATTTTCCTCCACCTGCCCAACTATCTGGCAGATAGTTTACTACTTACGTTTTATTATGACTCCTTGAAGATTCTCCAGTAAATGCTTGCATTATTTCAGCTGAATCAAGACATGATTTGTCTCCTAGATTTTGCAATTTTTTTCAGTATTCATAATGCCCCAAAGCAGGCAGGTAACTTTAAAGGTGGGCAAACAAAACTTATGGATCACTTGCCTGATAGTCTTGTTAGGTTTTAAAATTATTTTGAACACTGCCATCATTTAATTTCACTTGTCCTCATCACAATTTAGTTGTCTCAAACTAGCAGACTAGTGTGAATTTCGAAAGCTGCACACATACATATGCCAAATAATAGGGCATGTTACAAGTGCCATAATGTGCATATGTCTGATTTTCTTAGTCATAATGGCAAAATGTCATTTGGATTTACCATGTAAACTCCAAGTTGATAAATTTTGACTGTTTATAAACTGTTTTTAATTTATATGGTTTACAAATATTTTCCTAAACATTTTAGCTTGAATATTTCGAAATGAGATTAAACATGAACTAGTGCAGTTAAAATTGTAATCTTTTAATTTACAAAATGTTATTTGATTTGGTTGGTTTTGTGGGAAAAAATATGTTATAGCTGTGTAAAGTGCAGAATTTCACAGCACTGTTTATAGATTCATGTATTTACTTCTGTGAGAGGCAGCGTTGGATTATTTGTCATTTGTTTGCAATAGACAGACTATACATAAAATGCAAATGCTGAAAGGTTATTAAAACACTGTAATTACATTTTTCTAGAATAACAAAAAGTAGAACTTTCCATCAAACAACTACATTTTTTTCATTTTGTGGATTGTGGCTTTTGACACCATAAACGAAAAACTTAGGAATGTGTTTACTGAGAACATACAGTGTGCTTTAAGGGTGGTGGGGTAGCCTAGTGGTTAAAGCGTTCGTTCGTCAAGGCCAGGTTCGATTCCCCACATTGGCATAATGTGTGAAGCCCATTTCTGTTGTCCCCCACCGTGATATTGCTGGAATATTGCTAAAAGAGGCATAAAACCATAATCACTAACACAGTCAGTGTGCTTTAGGCAGGTGAGCTACAGTCTATGGTTTTACTTTGTGGAGTGTATGCTTGACATACGGCTTAATGGATGAAGATATTATCTGCTCAATTGTCACACCCGGTGAAGCAATTCCCTTTATCACTGCCCAGTAACCACTGTTGTCCTTACAACCTTTGAGTCACAGTGAATAACTTTAGCTAAATACTACGTACTGGACACACCGAGTATCACAATTAAATATATACCAGATACACCCAGTGTAACACTTACCTGTATACTGGACACAGTGTAACACTTACCTGTATACTGGACACAGTGTAACACTTACCTGTATATTGGACACAGTGTAACAATTACCTGTAAACTGGACACAGTGTAACAATTACCTGTAAACTGGACACAGTGTAACACTTATCTGTATACTGGACACAGTGTAACACTTACCTGTATACTGGACACAGTGTAACACTTACCTGTATACTGGACACAGTGTAACACTTACCTTTATACTGGACACACCCAGTGTAACACTTACCTGTATACTGGACACAGTGTAACACTTACCTGTATACTGGACACAGTGTAACAATTACCTGTATACTGGACCCAGTGTAACACTTACCTATATACTAGACACAGTTTAACACTTACCTGTATACTGGACACAGTATAACACTTACCTGTATACTGGACACAGTGCAACATTTACCTGTATACTGGACACAGTGCAACACTTACCTGTATACTGGACACAGTGCAACACTTACCTGTATACTGGACACAGTGTAACACTTACCTGTATACTGGACACAGTGCAACATTTACCTGTATACTGGACACAGTGCAACATTTATCTGTATACTGGACACAGTGCAACACTTACCTGTATACTGGACACAGTGTAACACTTACCTGTATACTGGACACAGTGCAACACTTACCTGTATACTGGACACAGTGCAACACTTACCTGTATACTGGACACAGTGCAACATTTACCTGTATACTTGACACAGTGCAACACTTACCTGTATACTGGACACAGTGCAACACTTACCTGTATACTGGACACAGTGCAACACTTACCTGTATACTGGACACAGTGCAACACTTACCTGTATACTGGACACAGTGCAACACTTACCTGTATACTGGACACAGTGCAACACTTACCTGTATACTGGACACAGTGCAACACTTACCTGTATACTGGACACAGTGCAACACTTACCTGTATACTGGACACAGTGGAACACTTACCTGTATACTGGACACAGTGCAACACTTACCTGTATACTGGACACAGTGGAACACTTACCTGTATACTGGACACAGTGTAACAATTACCTGTGTACTAGACACAGTGTAACACTTACCTGTATACTGGACACAGTGCAACACTTACCTGTATACTGGACACAGTGCAACACTTACCTGTATACTGGACACAGTGCAACACTTACCTGTATACTGGACACAGTGCAACACTTACCTGTATACTGGACACAGTGCAACACTTACCTGTATACTGGACACAGTGCAACACTTACCTGTATACTGGACACAGTGCAACACTTACCTGTATACTGGACACAGTGCAACACTTACCTGTATACTGGACACAGTGCAACACTTACCTGTATACTGGACACAGTGTAACACTTACCTGTATACTGGACACAGTGTAACAATTACCTGTGTACTAGACACAGTGTAACACTTACCTGTATACTGGACACAGTGCAACACTTACCTGTATACTGGACACAGTGCAACACTTACCTGTATACTGGACACAGTGCAACACTTACCTGTATACTGGACACAGTGCAACACTTACCTGTATACTGGACACAGTGCAACACTTACCTGTATACTGGACACAGTGTAACACTTACCTGTATACTGGACACAGTGTAACAATTACCTGTGTACTAGACACAGTGTAACACTTACCTGTATACTGGACACAGTGTAACACTTACCTGTATACTGGACACATTGTAACACTTACCTGTATACTGAAC